CGGTCAAAAGTCTATTGCACTCACCACAGCTGTTTCGATCGCTGTATTATGCATCGTGGCGCGCGGTATATTTACGCATCGATCGCCTGCGTTATGTACCGTGGCTGCTATAATCATTTATATATGTATGAAATTTGGATTCTAACACAAAAGCACACACAGATACACACACACACAGGCAGCTATGTATGTGTACCAGGTCACGTTATGCGGCGACTAGTTATAGTAGAGACGTCTGCGCTGCACTTCGCGCTGTCACATATACACGAGGTTTCATCGATCTATCGTGGCTCATTACGCGCAGACTTTGTGCGCCGACATATTTAGTATAATAATGTGCTGTTGTGGCCCGGCGCGCATTAATGCGCGATATTGCAACTCTGTACGTAATATTAATCGAATCTGCGTTGCGCGCGATATCATTTGCAACGACTCTATATGTACTCGTAATATAGTCTCGACGTGTGCGTGTGTGTGTGTGTGTGTACGTACGTATATATAAGGCGTGTGCTGCGCATTATATAGCCGCATGTTCATCGAGCCGCGATGCAATTGCCAAGCATATGAGCGGGAGCTGGACCGATAGTAAATAATCTGGTTTTGAAAGCAAACCCATTTGACCTGTAATAGACGCGGGTGCTCGAATACACGAACACACAGAGAAAACGTCCGTGTGTTCTGCATGCACACGTACATTTGTATACGGTGCGTTACGTGCTATGCTTGATCGCGAAAACTTTGCTTTGCATAACGATATTACGTGTGTTTACGCCAACTACCACCACCGCCAGTGCCGCGCCGCCGGGGCATCGAGCGATATTAACATGCTCTCGTTGCGCAAAAACGAAATTAAAATAGACAAATCAATTTATTCGGTTGGAATTAACGCGCGGGATATTGCAAGCTCGCGAGAAGCGGCTAACCTACATCGTGCGAGGGGCTATAATAAATCGCGAAGAAAATGATTACATTCGATGACCTCTGACGTGTATCAAATTTGACACACATACGAGAGTCATAAATACGTACATGTACGCGCCCGTACACGATATACCAATAAACGCAATATATGCAATATACGCATGCCTCGCATCAGTTACCGGGGCTCGAGGGTGCGATAACAAACATCGATGAGAGCTGCACAAAAGAGCAATTTTCGTCCATTTAAATGCCATACTTGTATCAAATGCATATCAAATGCACTGCGATCGACTCGCTCCTTCGTATACGCCGCATGCGTCTCTCTTTCTCTCTCCTCCTTGCTGTAGCGCGCGCGCGTTCGCTGAAAAAAAGCTCTATTAATAAACTCACTTTATGTAAGCGCATGTGTGCATTTATGTACGTACGCTAGTTGGGCGCGCGTCTATGCCTATGTACGCGTGTGTGTGTGTGTGTGCGTGCATTACAAAGCGATCACACACGTGATGCCCTGATGTTGGTGCTGCTGGTGGCCTCCTCTTATAATTGAGAGTGCCCCGTGCAGTGTGTGTGTATGTATATGATATTCGAGTCGTTAACCTCGCGCGTGTGCATCCAGGCTTGTATATGTACTCTTGTGCACACACACACACACACACATAGATAGTGTCAGCATGCAAGACTTGCAGCGTGCACGAGAGAGACCTCATCATCTCGCGCTTGCACTGACGCGCGCACCGGATGAAATGCTGCTGCTGATGCTGCTTTGTGGGCATCCCATCGAGAGCCAACTGCCCTTCTCTCGACGGTATCGACGATCGGAGCTAATTTTTTAAAGCGTCGATGCAAAAAATGCGGTTTTTTTTCATAAAGCTGATTGCAAACGACGCGTGTTTTATCCCTGCCATCTCGTTCGCGCGATCCGCGTGTGTATCACGATATTGCGCGGGTTATTTTGCGCTCGCAAATTATCCTCCTCGTACGGTGGTACACACAGTCGTTGAGTTGTCGCAGCTCGCGTGACTGGACGTAGGAATAAAAAAAAAATAAGATGGCAAGAAGTGTTCGAGAAACAAAGTAGTATGAGTCAACGCAAAACTTTTTGTCAAGTTTACCGCGTTTGTCATCTATCTATCGTGAAAAAGAACGTTATAATGAAAAGTTTTGCTTCGGATGATACTGAGCTTTTTATCATCGAGCAAAAAAATTTTGGGCTTGAACGGAAAAATAATGTTCGTGAGTGAGACTTTGAACTATGGATAGTATTGAATTACAAGGCAATTGAAAATTATTCTTTTGACTGATGAAGAAAATGTCCAAAGAATTGTGTATATTAAGAAAAGTCATTGATCAAACCAAAAATAGGATATCTTTATTATATTGAAAATCATTGAATTATATTTTTTTGGAACACATTAAAATTAACAGCTATTTCAAAGACTTATTCAGCAATCGATAAGTACTTAAATATGAATGATATTGTGACATAATACATTGTTCCCAATATATTTTATTTCCACCTAATTTATTGGTTTCTTACATACTCAAGTTGACTATTATCAGTGCTTTTAAAAAATGGACAATGGAATGGTCCAAGATGCTTATAATACAGAGCTTAAAAAATTACGCCCGTGTACGAAACAAATATTTCTGAGTGACTTTTCAAAATAATCAATTGCGGATTGCTTATAACATATTCAATCAGACGCTTTATTAAAATAATTAACATCATAAATACTTTTTCTTAGTTTGAAAAAACTACGAATAAGTGAACTTTTAAAAATAACTTGTTGGACAGTCAAATATGTCAAAGACGCCATATTTTCAATCAAAAGCAAAGCGAGTGATTGCTATGAGTATTCGATGAACAGGTTTTAATGATCTACGCACGTTACAGAAAGAACGTAGAAACTTGAGCTTTCATACAGAATCAAGTTGTAGCCGTGCTTGCATAGCACTCTCAGCGAAGTTTAGGAAAAGGAAATTTGCAAATCAATACTAAGCGTTGCAAAATATTTGGAAAATAAAAGAAAAATTAATTCTACTCAATCCAAAACAAAGAGAAAATAAAATGTCTTGTATATATGGCAAATCACTCAACATGTGAAATATGCAAAAAAACATTTGGCTAATAACTATAATGGATGTCCTTAATAATACGGAAGCTTAACAATATCTCTTGCGTGATACTTAGAATTCGACTACGCGTCACCATGCGTTCAATAACGGTACTATGGTTATTCTTCGATCGAAGTGTTTGTGAAACCACGAATGTTTTTGTTAGGCCTACTCGAATTTTCCTCGTTCGAACTCAACGAGTCGGGCTCAGAAGTTCTTGTATAACATTTAACAAAATATCAATGTCGTGAACGCACTAAGAAATTAAAAAGAAAATTTCATCAACGAAGCGCCTAACAATATTAAATCTTGCTTAAGCCCCTACTATTGATCCCCCAATAAAAATCGCATAAATAATTTGTAGAAGTCATTTCAGCTTTAAAAAACGCGTATGTTATAAAAAAATTGTTTTTTAAATTCATGAATCTAGAACATCGTAACAAGCATACATGATCGATACGAGATTTACGCAGATTTAGAATATTCAATAATTAAAAATAGTGCATCATCTGTTACCTCTAGAATATTTCTCCAAACTTCAAGACACTTTATTTTTTTAAATAAATATCTTATTCTTAGTGAATAAATATCTTATTCTCTTAGTGTTCTCATACATACTTTGACAAATGGGCTTTCTTGACGAATTATCGCTTCAATGAAATCTGGAAAGTAGTAAAAGTATTAAGTTAATTTTGTATTTTTAAACGTACAGAAAAAAATTATACACATCTTTCGAGTTTGCTAAAAAAAGATTAAATGTTAAAATTTCGTTTTAAAAGTCTAAAAATAATTTTGCAAACTTGAAAATTGAATCAAGTTCAATGAACAAAAAACGGATTTCTTTTTTAGATTGGTAATATCACGTTACTGTATTATTTTCCTAATGTAAATTAATTGATGCGGAGGGTGAAAAAAAGATTTATTTTTCGCTTATCAGTTTTTATATAGCTACAAAAACAAATTACCTATGTAATAACACAGTAATGTTTTATTTCTATTTTTTCTTTAAAAATATTAATCAATCGTCGACAAATTACAAATCCTAAGACTATTATGCAAACTTATCATTTTACTTAACATCTTATTATGCATTAGGTGTAAAAAAGTAATATAAAAAAAATTAAACTAGTATGCGTCGTTAGACTACGGTATATAGGAGAGGTTTGTGTGTGTAAGAGAGAAAGAGAGAGAAATGAAGGGCGCAGACAATCGGCTGTTGACCTTTTGCGTACAAAGAACGCAATAGCCAGTAGCAGTAGTCCAGCCCCCTCATATATAAAGTATAAGTTTCTTTCTTTTTTTTTATTTCATGCACCTATACGAGCTTTACACTCAGACACCTCGACGCGCGCACTAAGTATAAGAATATCAGTGTACACACGCTAAAAGAGGTTTCCTGCGTCACCAGCTGGCGATCGAACTCTCATATAATACACGCGTGGTATATTTCACTAGCTGGTGTATTATATATTTGTACGCGTTTGCTTGGTGAGCTTTTTTTGTTGCCTCTCTCTCCGTCTCTTTCTGTAAGCTTCGCTTGAGGTCGGGTCTCCCGACGAGTCTTCTTCCTTCTCAATATACGTATAGCACGAAAGAAGAAGAAAGATAAGTGAGTGAGAGCGAGAGAGACAAGATTATGGTTATTTTCGGTGCGCGTTACTCGCTCCAACGCTGCCGCATGCACGGCTGCGCGCTATATAGAACCTAAAAGATTCGGAAGAAAGGATGATATAAGCTCTGACCCAAAGCACGCGGAAAAAAGATTTTACATTGAATTTACTATTCAAATGGTCGTCAAGCCCTTCTCTTTCAGGAAATAGAGATTTATTTCCGTGCCAAAGTCATGAAAATGAAAATATTGCTTGAATAAAAATAAAATTCACATATTATATTATGTACTATGATTAATTTAAATTCTTATAAATAATATTTAAAACAATCTCGTTTGCTTATGTATGTTACAGGTGAGTGACACGAGTGGTGATACACATCGCATGAATGACACGAGTCGAGTCTCGGCGATTCGTAAGTAAATACATACGAATATACTTATACATGAGTAAGCAAGCGTAAATTCTAAAGACTTCCCTATATAATCGTTCGCCAACGTGACAATTGATTTACCACTCTAACTTTAATACATCTATATATGGCGCTGAATTCTTCACATGGTTAAAAAAATTAAAAAATATGATGTTCATGTGTATTGTATACCTGTGTTACAATAATTAAAAGTGTACCAACTTCTTTCCGCACGCGCGACATGTCGACTGATCCGGGACTATCAGAGATAGAGAGAAGGCTCACGGAAATTTGGGTTAATGGTCGTGCTCACTCGCTCGAAGCACGTTTCTCTCTCTTTCTCTCGCTCCCTCCTTACGTTCTATTATGCTCAAACCAAAAAAAAAAAGATGAATGGAATGAATTTAATTTAGCTTCTAACATTCTGCAAAAAAATTCTCACTTAAATCTCCATCCTGTAAAAACGGAAAAGGTAGCAAAAAATGGTTACTTCGTTAGAGACTTATGTTGCGCATTACGGAGTACAGCGAGTTATTACAAATAGATTATACATGTACACGTCTATACAGCAGCCATTCGCGAAAATTTTATAACGAGCATTTACGACTTACGAGCGAGAGAGAGAGGTAAAGACACAGTTTATTATAATATTCGCGAGAAAGAGAGAGGATTTATTCGATGACTCGTTTCGTTGAATCGAGTGCACGCGCGAGAGGTCACGCAAAAGAGTACTAAAAAAAGGGGGAGTACGTACATATATAGGAAGATGAAGAGGAGTACGAGGAGGAGGAGGAGACGTTTAACCCAAATTGCCGAAAATCAAGGTTGTTGATAAAGCCGCACATGTATATAACAAGCGTCTACTCCGTCTTCTGTCGCAATTCGATGTTTTATTATTATTTCTCCTGTCGCGAAAAGCTGCTGAGTTTCTCGCCTCCTCTTCCTCGCGTTTATATTCGTGCAATTCCATGAAAATGTAATATCGTCAACCTTAAAATAGTGTAACCTAAATAAACGCTTAGGCTATAAAGCTCCAAAAGCTCGACTGGAATGGCGAAACCTTTTCGTATCGTCTTGCGGCGTCGAATTCAATGAAGAATTCTTCATTACATCGAGAGAGAAAACATCTATATCTGTGTTTTTTTCTCTCGCTTAATATCGGCAAAAACTTTTCTGAGTCAAGCTTACAGATCTTGCTAAAAGTGACAACGGAGAAAAAAAGCTAAATTGACTCTTGATCCACGTTAGCTACGAGCTTTAATACTTGTGGGTATACACTCGTTTTCTATAGAAGTTTCTGTTTGCAGTATGAAAAAAAATCCGCAGAGTTGACCCATGTGAACGAAGGCCGCAGCATACGAATTATAGGTCAGTGCAGCTCGACGCATACACTGTACGAGCTTTTCTCTAGTATATACTTGAAATTCGCGTAAAGCTCGCATGTTCATCCGATTATAAATCCCATTGCGTACCTTGTAACGCGAGCGTAATTCTCCATGTGATTAGGTTTTTGGAGTAAAAAATACAATACAATTCGGCATAATCAAGCGTTGAAGTTTTTCATAACATTTTCTTTTCAATGAGCACGCTTTCAAAGTCCTACGACTCCTAATCTCGAAGGAAAATTCCAAGAGGAATTGAAAATCATTTCGATCGATATCCAATGTTTTGTGATTAGAGCCTCGAACGTGATTGGACTTACAAGTCAATTAAAGTAACTGATGCAGAATCCTTAAGGAAGTAATAGATTGATTTTCCAAATCAATCTATAATTACAAAGTAATTAAATTTTTTTTCAATGAAATAAAATTGATGCTGAATTTTTTCAAGTAAAAAGTCTGCCCAGGACGAAAAATAATAATTTGACGTTTTCCTAAATTAGAAGTGCATTAAAAGTTTTTATTGCGCGGGAAAAGAAGTCGTCGCGCGCCCATAACTCAGCGAGAAATTTCACACGCGTGCAGTAGCGCGCAGCGACGATATAAGACGTTGGCAGTTGAAATTTTTGGTGTGAATTACTTTTTTGATATAATGTTATAACAGCTCCCCTCTCCTTTTCGCTGCTATAACACAATTCCGAAGCTCTCGTAAAGTGACAAGATTTGCATCAAGACAGCTCCGGGGCCCACGCAGATGCCGTTATATAAGTCGAGTCGAATGAATGCAGGACTTTTTAATTGTGAATTAGGAGGATATCTGTCACGGTAACTTGAACTCGAGTGAGAGAGTTTGTGTGAGAGAGAGAGCTAGGAGGAAGGAAAGAAAAACGTCGTCGCTCTTCTTCGCAATTAACCGCAGCATCAGTTTGCGGGCGCGCGCGATATCATCCGAACGATGGCTTTCCAGCAATTAGCGGGCACATTTTTCGCCTTGCTCGGGCGCTCACCATCGGTCCCTCGCCACTTCTATATCATACCTATATAAACACACGAATCGAGAACTTTGTATTTGTATGCGTTCGAGTGTGCGCGTCCGCGTAAGTGTGAGTGTAAAAAGGAGTCGAGCTTTTGCGGGAGGGAAGCAGTAGTAGAGCGTGATCGATCCGACACTACACGCGGCGCGAGTATATGCTGCTGCTGCTGCACCGAGTACCAGGCCAGGTCAGGTCTTGACGCTAGTAAGTATGTGTGTGTATGTGTGCAAATGCGCGCACACGCACACATTTACCCCAAGTATACATATATATAGGTTCGAGCGAGAGCACACCCGCCGCGAAAGTGAATCTATATCGAGCGCGAGTCGCAGCGCGTATACCGTGAGAGGAGCAGCCGAGCTCTATATTGTTGCTCGCTACTGCACTGCATGAGCTGCACCCGAAGAACTGTATAGCTGCAGCTGCTGCACACCCCCCGGTATTTACCAGCTGATCGAGTCAGCTGAGGTTCGCGCGCGCTCCATGACTATATTACAATGCATCCAGCTCTCTCGCGTTCGTTTTCGCTTTCTTATTCGACTCTGCATCGATGTAAGTGTACACGAGTATGTGTGTATGTGTCTGTGTGTTTGTATCTGTGCCGTAAGAGCTTGCAAGCTCTCGGCTTGCAGAAATAAGCGAACTAGAAAGTCGAAGAAAATAACGATGTCGATGTTGGCTCGAGGATATATAACTGGAACACATTGACGTCTCTTTTTCTTCTTCTTCTTTTTTCCAATATAGGGACGAGCTTGATGTAAATGTCACGTTGGTATCTACGAGGAAAAGACAAAATACCTAAAGTAAAAAATTATCCCAAAGACTGAATTCGTGTTATAAATATACATTTGAAGGTATATTTAATTTAAACCGACGTAAACGTCTGACATGTATCGAATAACGATAAGTTATCTATTATACACACATCGGTCCTTGATTTACTGAGATGTAGGCTAATCCGGAAAAAATTAGACGAAATCGACGATTTTCTCAGCTCTTTCTCTCTCGCGTTCCAACTCAAACAAAACCTCGTATATCGGAATAAAGACGTTATCGCAAATATACTCGGAATTCATTTATTCGAGCTTACGATTGATTATACTACGCCTCGGTGTCCCAAGACTGCTACTGCTGCTGTTTACATAGAGAATCGTATCGCCTTTTATATATATGCGCGCGCCCACACATACACACACAAATACACGTACACATGTCTACGCGGGAGCTTACTTATATATTCGCGTGACACGAACTGTAATCCTCGGCTATACGATACCAGTTTCCAATCGATAATGAATATTCAAGTGATATAGTAACCTACATTTTTAGATCAATAAAGTTTCTGCTAAGATTAATTTAGATTTTAAATTCAATTCTCAACTTTGAACGCATGTAATTGCACAACACGTGTTGAATGCATAATCGCGATCTCGTACACCCCTTTCCAAATTCGACATTTGCACATTTATTGTACTGTAATAATTGGCTTCTTTTTCTCTTTCGTTAGACTTTTGTAGCTACTCATTCGATTTACATTTCTACGTTCATTACCATCGTGGCATGTGAAATTTCGTAACCCAAAAAGTTGGAGGTAAAATAAAATAAATATGAAAAAAGTACGTGATGTTTTTAAGTTGCGCACAGACTCGCGGGTTAAAGGTGTCAAGAGCTGCTCATTTTTTGAATGAAAAGCTCGTATTATGTATATAAACATGAGTGTGCGCAACTTGGCGAAAACTGAGTATGAAATTTTGGCTTTTTGTCTTACTCGATGGTAACGCAAACACAAGCTACACTAACACACACGCTGTGCAACTATGCGTGTCTCGCGCGACGTCTGCGATGCGGTATTAAATTTACATTAAAAGTTATAACCACGCGCTCGTGCGTGTTGGTGTGATATGCATATACATGAGTACTATGCATAAACTTTACTATTGTTCATAGAGAAGGTCTGAAAAGTTGTCGTCATATAAAGGTACATCATATACGCACATACAGGGTATAAAAGCGAACTTTATATCTTCGTTGTCGGCGAATTTTCACACCCACGCACCGAAGGTTCAAATATATATGTCACATACGGACGCTCAAATATTGGCCTGCTTCTGTACGATGATCAATGTTTTATGATTTTTTTTTTCGTAAAATTACATACTCCCAACAAACAACGACAAACAATATAATGTAATAAATTTTATATTACGCTGCTTTTATTTTGTTTTCGCTACGTTTGTCCTTACGCACGTATCCTATATTTGTACGTCAAAACACCAAAAGTCAATTGTTTCAATTTCTTATATGCTATTATAGTTCTCGCTTTCTTTTCTTCGAGCTTTTTTTTCTTTTTCTCCTTTTTTTTTCATTAGCAAAAATGTGAACGAGCGGCTACGCGTCACACGCGTTCAACCTGAAATTTCTCGAGTTCTACAAGCTCCAGAGAGCTCAAGTATATAATAAGAAAAAAATAAAAATATCGCAAGATAATAATTGAGAAGTTTTATTCTCTCTCTCTCTCTTTTTCTCTTTTTACGAAACCTGACAAAAAGGAATAAAATAAACAGAGATAACGATATTGCTGCTCAGCGTG